CCCCCAGACTCACAGCGGGGCAGTTTGGGGGCTCCCAGGGGGGCTCCAGCCCGGGTTGGTACAGTGGGGGGGGGCTGGCAGGAGGGGGGGTCCCGGGGGGCTCCCCCAAACCACAACAGCCCAGCCTGCGCTGCAGCTCCCCCCGCGCCCCCCCGCTCAGCAGGGGCCAGGCCGAGTGCAGCAGCCGCTCCTGGGGGACCCCAAAAATCGGTCAGTGCCCCCCAGGACCCCCCCACGGCCACAGGGCCCCCCCAAACCCGTCAGTGTCCCTTTGTGCCCCTCCCGGGGCTGGGAGATCCCAGCACCCCCTCCCAAGGATTGTGGAGCCAGGGGGTTCCCCTGTGCACCCCGAGACTGTGGGATGGGTTGTGGGGTCCCCTGTGCACCCCAGAATTGTGGGATGGGTTTGTGGGGTTCTCCTGTGCACCCCAGAATTGTGGGATGGGTTTGTGGGGTCCCCTGTGCACTCCGGGATTTTGGGATGGGTTTGTGGGGTTCCTGTGGGTGTCGTGGGGGTGGGGTGTGGGTCCCAGAGGGGGTGTGGGGGTGTTCTGGGGGGTCTCCAGGGGGTGTGACCCACCTGAGGTGCCCAGGGTTTGGAGGAGGAGGGAGCCGAGAGCCCCCCCAGGGAGTTGGGGGGTCCCGGGGGGTTTTGGGGAGCCCAGGGGGGTTCCCAGTACCCACCTGAGCCTCCCGGCCCAGGGCGAGGCAGGCACAGGACACACCGAGCTGGCACAGGAACACCAGGCCCAGGATCAGCACGTACTTGGGGGGGTCAAGGGGGGCCACACACACACGGAGACCCCCCCAAAAATCCCCCTGGGACCCACCCGAAATCCCCCTGGGACCTCCCCAAAATCCCCCCGGGACCCCCCCCAAAATCCCCCCGGGACTCCCCCAGAATTCCATCGGGACCTCTCCACAACCAGACCCCGTGCAGGTTTGGGGGACCCTGGGCAGGGGGGAGCCCCCCTGAAGGATCCAAAGGGGGCAGGAGCTGGGGGTGCCAGGGGGCAAGGTGGGGTTGGGATATCGGGGGGGTGCATTTGGGGACACAGGGGAGGGAGTGGAAGGACATTTGGGGACCCCAGGAGGGGATGGGGGCTCACAAAGGGGCTCAGGGACACTGCCAGGGGTGTTGGGGACATCCAGGGGGGTGTTGGGGACTCCAGGAGGGGCTCAGGGACACTGCCAGGGGTGTTGGGGACATCCAGGGGGGTGCTGGGGATTCGAGGAGCTTTGGGACAAGGGGACAGCGAGAGCGGGACCTGGTGCTCACACGGGGCGGGGGCTCCCAGAGGGATTTGGGGACCCCTGGAGGGGCCGGGGGTGTCCCGAGCGGGGGTCCCGCGCCCCCCCAGTGAAGGATACGAAGAAGAGCAGGACCTGGTGGTGCCGCAGGGCCCCGAGCAGCCCCAGCCCCGCGATCAGCAGGAGGAAGACTCCGACGGCGAAGGCTCCGCCGAGCAGGGGGGGGCTGGAGCCCATGCCCAGGCTCCGTGCCCAGCCCGCCACGGCCACCAGCAGCACCCCAACCAGCTGGGGGGGCACCGCGTCAGGGACCCCCCCGCCCCCCCAGCACACCCGGGATCCCGGGACCCCCGAACCCCCCTCAACATCACCGGGACTCCCGAACCCACCCAAGACCACTGGGACCCCCGAACCACCCGGGACCCCCGAACCCCTCGGGACCCTCGAACCCCCCCGGGACCCCCAAACCCACCCAGGACCACCGGGATCCCCGAACCCCCCAGCAGCACCAGGATTCCCGAATCCACTCAGGACCACCGGGACCCTCGAACCCCCTGTCACGCCCGAACCCCCGGGGACCCCCGAAACCACCCAGGACCACTGGGACAGCCGAACTCCCCGGGACTCTCGAACCCCCCGGGACCACCGGGATCCCCGAACCCCTCCGGGACGCCAGAACCTCCCGGGACCACCAGGAACCCCGAACCTCCCCAGCACCGGGGCTGTGCCACGGGGACCGCGGGTGCACAGCCTGAGGATTCCAGGAGGATTTTGGGGGGTCCCCAGGGTCATGGGGGGCTGCTCCCCCTCAGCCTCCCGGTGCTGTGGGTTTTGGGGCGGGGGGATGTGGCCTTTGACCCTTCCTGTGGTTTTGGGGCGCCCCCTGACGCCCCCCGGCTCCTCCCGGCCCTGTCCCAGAGCCCCTCGCCAGTCCCAGGAGCCCCCCCACGATTGGGGACCCCCAATTTCCCCACAGGGAGAGACCCCTCCCAGCAGCCCACACCCCAAATTGGGAGGGGGTCCCCCCGCCTTCCAGATCCCCCCAGACTCCTCCCTGGCCTTCCCGTGGGACCCCGCAGCCCCTCCCCACCCCCCACACAGGGTGGGCCGCGCCCCGCCCCCACCCAGAGCACAGGGGTCCCCAGTCCCCCTCATGGCCCCCCCGCTCACCACATAAACTACGTTGAGGGCGCAGAGCGCGTTGCGCGAGCAGGCGAAGCCCCCGCAGACCATGGCGGGGCCGGAGGGGTCCCGGGGTTCGGGCGGTGCCGGGGTCGAGGGGTCCCGGGGGGGCTCGGGGGGTTCCGGGGTCCCCGCGCTGCGGCCCCTTTAAACCGCGGCCCCGCGCCCCGCGCGCTCCCGCCCTCACTGCGCATGCGCAGGGATCTGAGCCCCGCCCACTCTGACGTGTGTCACCATAGCTCCGCCCTCAAACCACGCCCACCACCCTGCTCTAGGCCCCGCCTCCTTTTCGTCTATGGGTAGAGCTCCTCCCACAGTACAGGCGCTCTGCGGACTGCGCGTGCGCAGGACCCTGAGCCCCGCCCACTCCACCGTCTGCTCCCAGAGCCCCGCCCACTACCCTGCTTTAGGCCCGCCCCTTCTCCTTATATGGGCACAGCCCCGGCCGCAGAGCTACCGGCGCTCTCAGTACTGCGCATGCGCACAGCGCCGCGCGAAACTAGGCTTCCTGGAAAGGGGCGGGGCTTCCTTGGGCTTCTGCCCCGCCCCCGAACCTCGCCCCTCCCCCGGCCCCCCCCGAATCCCCCGGCCGCAGAAATCCCGGCTGAGCCAAACGCCAGAGCCCCCCAGGATCCCCCTGGAGCCCCCCAGGGTCCCCCTGGAGCCCCCCAGCCCTACTGACCCCAAAGGACCCCCATAGCCCCCCAGGGTCCTCCTAGAGCCCCCCAGGATCCCCCTCGAGCCCCCCAGGGTCCTCCTAGAGCCCCCCAGCCCTACTGACCCCAAAGGACCCCCATAGCCCCCCAGGGTCCTCCTAGAGCCCCCCAGGATCCCCCTAGAGCCCCCCAGGGTCCTCCTAGAGCCCCCCAGCCCTACTGACCCCAAAGGACTCCCATAGTACCCCACGAACCCCCTAGAGCCCCCCAGGGTCCCCCTAGAGTGCCCCAGCCCTACTGACCCTATGAGACCCCCACAGTCCCCCAGGGTCCCCCTATGTCCCCTCAAAAGACCCTTTCAGGCCTGAGCACCCCCGCAGCCTTCCCTGCCCCAGGACCCCCGGTGATCTCCCCCTCGCTGCCCCATGGCCCCCCAGATCCCCCTCCATGACCCTCAGGTGTTTCTGGGCTCCCCAAACCTTCTCAAGGGTCCCCGGATCCACCCCCCAGGTCCTCCATAGCTCCCCCTGGGCCTCTCCCTGCTTTTGCGGCCCCCCCACACCCCAAACCCCCCCTGTCCCCCCCGAGGTGAGGGTGGCGTGGCTGGAGGTGCTGTGACCTCCCCCCTGGGAAGTCCTTGAGGGACCACATTTGGTCTCTTAAACATTAAACAGCTCCGGGGGGGGCGGAGGGGGCAGATTTGGAGGTGAACAACACCCCGGGAGGCGTCAAATTTTGGGGGACGAATCCCCCAATAAACCCTCGGGGACAGAAGCGGGGGGAATTGCGGGTGCAGCCGCCCCTTAGCAGCCCGGGGGTGCTCGGGGTGTCCCCCCCGGAGTCTTCCCCTCTGTCGAGGTCACGTCGCGACCTTGGGGCGTTATCGCGACGATAGCAGCAGCTATAAGCGACAGCGGGCCCGGGGCGGGGGGACTTGCGATGGCTCCGTGGCTGCTGTGGCTGCTGCTGGTGACCGGCACGGGGGGCACCGGGGGGGTTCCCTCTGTCCCCTGGGAGCCCCCTCGGGCGGTACCGGAGCCCCGGGCGGTACCGGAGCCTCGGGAGGTACCGGAGCCCCGGGCGGTACCGGAGCCTCGGGAGGTACCGGAGTCCCGGGAGGTACCGGAGCCCCGGGCGGTACCGGAGCCTCCCCAGGGGGTACCGGAGCCCCGGGAGGTACCGGAGCCTCCCCAGGGGGTACCGGGATTCCCCCAGGCGGTACCGGAGCCCCCCCGGGCGGTACCGGGGTCCCCCCGGGCTGTGTCGGACGCGGAGCTCCGGGAGCTCTCGGAGCAGCTCCTCGCCGCAGACTCGAACCGGGCCGAGCCGGGGCAGCTCGAGCTGAACCTGAAGGGCTCGGGGAGCCACACCGGGGACTCGAGGTGGGGAGAGGGTTGGGAGGCGAGGGGGACTCAGCACCCTCCGTGTTCTCCCCTCCATCCCCTCACCCCTCTGCCCCTCTCGCTCTCCGTCCCACGTGGCTCCATCCCGCTCTATCCCATCCCTCTGTCCCAAACCCACCTGGCTCCGTTCTCATCCCTTGACCCTGCTTGTCGCCATCCCTGTCCCTCCATCCCAACCCATTAACCCATCCCATCCCATTATCCAAACCCATCCCAAATGTTTCCATCCTCGTTCTTCCATACCAAACCCATTTCCTTCCATCCTGATCTTGATCCTACATCTCTACCCCTCCTGTGTCCATCCACCTCCATCCCTCATCCCAATCCCCCATTCCCTTATCCCATCTCTCCACCCCGTGCGTTTCCAGCCCACATTCCCCCCTCCCAAAATCCCAATCCCGACGCGTGTCCCTGCCCGTTCCAGGCTGTTTTCCTACGTGTCCCCGGACCTGCTGGCCCGTCCCACCTTCTCCCGGCTCCTGGCGCTCCTGGATAATTACGAGCCGCTCACGGGGCGGGACGAGACGGAGACGGCGGAGGAGCAGCGGGAGCAGCGGGAATTCCTGGAGGCCGCCCTGGACACTCCGGTCCTGGCGCTGCTGGAGCGCTTCGTCCTCCGCAAGGGTGGGGCCGTGCTGTCCTTATGGGGTCCCCACGGTGTCCCCATAGTGTCCCCATAGTGTCCCCACGGTGTCCCCCTGGTGACTCCTCTGTCCCCGCAGTGTCCCCCACAAGTCTCCCCAGTCCACAGGGCTGTCCCCACAGTGTCCCTCCAGTGTCTCCCCAGTGTCCCCCTGGTGTCCCCCCAGTGTCCCCCCAGTATCCCCACAGTGTCCCCAAGTGTCTCCCCAGTGTCTCCCCAGTGTCCCCACTGTGTCCCCAAGTGTCTCCCCAGTGTCTCCACTGTGTCCCCACTGTGTCTCCACAGTGTCCCTCCTGTCCCCTTGCCCTGTCTTTAGGGCTGAACCCCCCTGTCCACATGGTGCACCCTGTCCCCAGGGCTGTACCCCATGTCCCCACGATGTCCCCACGATGTCCCCACGATGTCCCCGCGGTGTCCCCAGGGCTGTACCCCTCGGCTGAGGCGTTCCGGGCCGATCTCCACTCCATGTGGTTTGGGCTCTACTCGCGCTCCAGTGGCAAAGCGCTGGACTCCTCTGGCTTCGAGCACGTGTTCCATGGTGAGGGGACATGAGGGACATGTGGGGACATGGGGAGACACTGGAGATGGGAGGGTCACTCCATGTGGGGATGGGGAGGGAACAGGGAGAGGGATTGAACAGGGGGACACCGAGGGGATGGGGGGACACTGTGGGGATGAAGCTGGGGAGGTCTGGGGGGTCAATGCCGGGGGTCGGGGGTCATGTGGGGGTGTCCATGGGGGGGGATCTGCGGTGGGGGACCTGTGGTCACCCCCTCTGTGTCCCCAGGGGAGGTGAAGAAGGGCTCGGTGTCGGGGTGTCACAACTGGGTGCAGCTGCAGGCGCTGGAGCGTGCGGGGAGACTGGAGTACCTGGGCTACACCTGGGATGGACCCGTGAGTGGGGACACGGGGACACGAGGGGACACGGGGGGACACAGGGGCATGGGGGCGACTGGAGTACCTGGGCTACACCTGGGATGGACCTGTGAGTGGGGACACGGGGACATGGGGGACACAAGGACACGGGGGGACACGAGGGGACACGGGGGGACACAGGGACACGGGGGACACAGGGACACGGGGGGACACAGGGACACGGGGGGACACAGGGACACCAGGGGCGCTAAAGGGACATGGAGAGGATGGGGATGTGATGACGATGGGAACACGGGGGGACTCCCTGAGTGAGATGGGGGCGAGACTGGGGGGGACATGGGGGCACAGGGACAGCCCCTGGTTGGGGGGCGAGGACACAGAGTCCCTCACTGCCCCCATCCCTCACAGTGTCCCTATCCAAGGTCTCTGTCCCCCTTATCATTGTGCCTGGAACCTGTGTCCCCCTGGCTGTCCCCACCCTCCCCGTTCCCCCTCACCATCCTCCACCTGCAGCATCCCCGGTGTCCCCGTCCCCCCGAGGCCATACCCGGGGTCCCCCATGGCTGTACCCGTGGTCCCCGCGTGTCCGTGCCCCCCGTGACCGTCCCCGGCTCCTGCAGGGCCGTACCTGGGGTACCCCCATGCCCACACCCGTGACCTCCCGTGCCTGCACCCCCTGTGAGACCCCCCCGCAGTGAACGGGGCTCCTGGATGTGTCACTGCGGTCCCGCTGGCAGTGTCCCCCTGTGTGTCCCCTCCGTGACCCTGCTGTGTCCCCTCCGCAGTGGACGGCCTTCCCGGACGTGCTGTCACTGCGGTTCCTCTGGGATGGGCACTCCAAACCCCGGGGGTCGCTCCTGGTGGGCTCCAGCCCCGAGTTCGACCTGGCTCTGTTCACCCTCTGCTTCCTGGCACGCCCCGACCGCCAGTGAGTGAGGGGCACTGAGGGGAGGGGGGCTGGCACCTGCCCGAGGGGGGCGACCTGGCAACCACCCAGGGGTTGTGGGGTGTCCCAGGCCCAGGGTCACCCTCACCTGTCCTTGCAGGTGCCACATCAGCCTGGGGGGCGAAGCCGCCACCATCCAGACCTACACGTGGGACAAGCAGCGCCTCGTGGCCTCCGCCTACCCCCTGACCCCCTGACCCCCCCAAAACACCCCCGTGATCACCCCTCACCCCTCAATAAACCCCCCACGGGATCCCCCATTCCTGCCTCTGCCTGGGAGGGTGCCCGGGATGGGGACACTGGGACCAGCCCCCCCCTCGGGGATGCTGGGACCCCCCAGTGACTGCTGGCACCCCCCCGGGGGTGCTGGGACCCCAGAGTGAGCTCTGGGACCCCCCAGTGACTGCTGGGACCCCCCCGGGGGTGCTGGGACCTCAGAGTGAGCTCTGAGACCCTCAGCAGGTGTTGGCACCATCCCGGGCACTGGGGGACCCCCCAACAGGTTCTGGGACCCCCTGTGGGCACTTGGGGGGGAACACAGGGACATCTCCAAGGGCCCCTGGCAGCTTCATCCCCTCCCTGAGGTGACATGGGGACACCTGGGGGGACAGGTGAGTGTGGGGGTGGGCTGTATGTGCATGTGATGACACGCATGTCCTTAGCGTGTCCGTGTGTCAC